CTTTAAGCTCGGTACGGTCTGCATATAGATTAAATTGTTCAATGATGGTGTTGTTATCAATCTCAATTGGGAGGGTTCTAGAGTCTTCTGCAGTTAATACCGTTAAGATCTCGTTCAACGTTTCTGGTTGTTTAATTTTAAAATTTTGATCAATAATTTGTTTGGATTGTAAGTAGTCATCAAACTCTGAGGCTTGAACCTGAAAAAAAGTAGAGCTTAGAATTGTAGCAAGGCACAGGCCAGTTTTTTTGAAATGCATGGAAAGTGTCGCTTATAAAAATTATGTTCAGATTATAGCTTTACCCGTATAAAAAAAGCACCCTTAGGTGCTTTTCGTTGGAAAAATTAATTAATCTTTCTTAGTATTTTCATTGATTAAAAATTCAACCAATGCTTTTTGTGCATGTAAGCGGTTTTCAGCTTCATCCCAAACCACGGCATTTTTATGGTCGAGCATCTTTTCAGAAATTTCTTCGCCGCGATGTGCAGGTAAACAATGCATAAATAAACAATCAGGATGAGCAAGATCCATAAGACGTTCATTTACTTGATAGTCTGCAAACGCAGCTTCACGAATTTTTTGCTCTTCTTCTTGGCCCATGCTTGCCCATACATCGGTCACGATGAGGTCTGCATTTACGGCAGCATCTTCAGCTGAGTTAACCAGTTCTGCACAATGTGCAAATTCACTTAAAAATTCTGCTTTGGGTTCATAACCTTTAGGCGCAGCAATTTTTAACTTAAAGCCCCACATATGTGCAGCTTCAATATATGAATTACACATATTGTTGCCATCACCAATCCACGCGACCGTTTTGCCTGCAATGGGCCCACGATGTTCAACAAAAGTTTGAACATCTGCAAGTAGTTGGCAAGGGTGGTGATCATCAGTTAAAGCATTAATCACAGGAACTTTTGAATAAGAGGCAAAACGTTCAACAATGTCATGTCCAAAAGTACGAATCATCACAATATCCAACATGCTTGAAATTACGCGTGCTGAATCTTCAATCGGTTCACCACGACCCAATTGGGTGTCTCGTGGAGAGAGGAAAATTGCACTGCCACCAAACTGGCTCATGCCTGCTTCGAACGATACACGGGTACGGGTGCTCGATTTTTCAAAAATCATACCCATGACTTTACCAACAAACGGTTGGAATACTTCGCTGTTGTGCTGTTTACGCTTTAGTTCGATACCGCGTTGCACAACTTGGTTCAGTTCTAAAGTAGATAAATCGCGTAAGGTAAGAAAGTGACGTAGAGCCATTGTTACTCCACAATAATTGCTGAAAACCGAAATAGGTACAGAACAACAATTAGTTGTTGGTTGGTGAAAAGAAAAAAGAGAGTCGATTAATATACTATATGCAAAGGAAATTGCAAAAAAACTAGAGTTTTTGATGACCTGCTAAAAAGCGGTCTACACAATATTCAATATGATTGTTGAGTTCTTCACGATCAAGAACAAGATCGACCCCCAAAATAATTCGCCACTCATAGTCGCGTAAAATACCGAAATACAGCATGGCTGAATTGTTGGGTTGGGGGCAATTGAGTTGTCCCTTTTCATGTGCTTGAGATAAGGCTTGAGCAATAGTTTTTTGAATCATTTGTGCACCATTTTCATGGATGTATTGTGCAAGCGCAGGATCTTTCTGTGTTTGATTGAGTATTAAACGAATAAAGGCAATGTTTTTAGGTTGAATGATGTGTTTGAG